CGACGTCCTCTAAAACTAGACTGAAGAACAAAACGACAACAACTTGTCTGTTCCCTTTCCCCCAATTCTCCAATAAAAAACTTAAAAAAAAAAAGACGGAATAAGGCTATTTAATTTAAATCACTTTCAGTTTCCTTAAGGATACAGGGACTGAGAGGGGCCTGCTGAAGGAGGAGTGACGCTGGGCCAGTCCCAGAGCCGTCGCCCTATTGGGGGGTGTCACTCTGTCGGGGCTGAAGGAGGAGCTGGATGTCAGGCGTCGTTCGAACAAGTCAACACAAAATGTTGGAGGGGAGAAGTGGCGGTGCTCCACAAAAGGACATTTGCAAAGCCCTGAGGGCCTAGGTCAGCCCTGGTTTTCAGAGCTGACAGGCACTCAGGTGGCTCCGATACGAGGAACAGGCTGGAAGACATGAGGGAGGGACAGGAGACCACCGTCCATGGCTGATTGACTTTGAGAAAAGTCCTTTTCTTTGCTTTTTTGAAATCAAAGACACATAAAAAGCAAATATTGTCTTTTGAAACAGGATACATGCATGATCTGTCCTCAGGCTAAATTCCAATAGGGCACACAATGACCATTTAAGAAATTACTAGAAGTTACAATTCATCTATACTCCCCGATTTAGAATACTTATTTTGGTTCATTTAATTACTACTTACAGTTTCAGGGCTCTCCTTTGCCAACCTTAGAGGCTGATACTTTACAATGAAGCTTATTGATGGATCTTGAAACTTAAATGACAATTTACAACAGGTCTCAAGCCGGAAAAAAATAGCAACTACAGCAAGCGATTTTTTGAAAACAAGTGTCTCCAGGACTGCACCATCCAATATGGCCGCTACTAATGACATGGGGTGACCTAAATTTAAATGTAAACTAAACTAAAGTTTAAAAATTCAGGTCTTCAGTGGCCCTAACCAACTTTTAAGTGTTCAACAGCCTTAGGATGTGGCTCGTGGCTAATACACTGGACACTGTGAGTCTGGACCTCAGAAATTCCTACTGGGCAGCGCTGGTCTAGAGTCATACAAACTTGGTCCTTCATTAAGGATGCTGTCAATGAATGACCAGGAGAACGGTGCTTATCTCACAGGGTTGTTGAGTGCTGTAGGAGGCTGAATAAGGCCGCCTCCCAAAATATTGGGTCTTAATCCCTGGGGCGTGTCAATGTTGTCTTATACGGAAAAAGGGTCCTTGCAAATGTGACTGAATTAAAGACCACAAAACAGAGATTATCCTGAGTTATCTATCATATGTGCCCTAAATGCCGTCTTAAGTGTCCTCGTCAGAGAGGGGTAGAGGGAGATCAGACACGCGCAGAAGAGGAGAAGGAAGTATGACCACAGAGGCATATTTTGGGGTAAAGTGACCAGGAGCCAAAGAGCGCTGGCCACCTGCACAAGCAGGAGGAAGCCAGGGACGGACTCCTCTCCGGAGTCTCTGGGGGAGCCACAGCCCTGGACCTCTGACGTCCAGATCCGGAAGAAAAGAAATTTCTAGTGGTTTAAGCCACCAAATTTGTGGTAATTTGTTACAGCAGCAATAGCAAATGAATACAAGGGTTACATTGGTTAATGTGTAAAACGCTTAGAATTCCTGCTACAGAATAAGTGCTCAATAAATGTTATTATTATTATTTAAAATGAATACACACCTATACTATGCATTCAATCACCAAAATGGTTCTAGTTCCCAGGGAGGCCCTGGGTGAGTTCCAGGCAATGAGCCCCCACATTTGAGTTAGGACTCTGGGTGTATGAGGAGGGACAGAAGGTAATAGAGGAAATTGGGGCTTCATGGACAGCTGAAGCACTGTCCTGCTGAAACCACGTTGCCACGATTGCAATATTGGGCAAAAATAGCTATTGCAAATAGTTCACCTGTTTACAGGACAATAAACACAAGTGCCACACTCTCCAGAAGATTCTAAGTCCCGAGAGCGTTAAGTGTGACCGGAGGAGGGGGTGTGAAGGCGACCCGAGCTGAGAGCGTGGTGTCCCCTCTGCTCTGCTGGGTGGGAAAGAGATGGACGAGTGTGACTTTGGGGATGGGGAGAAAGTATTAGCTACATTTTCAACAAGAATGTCTCAGACAATTGACTGAAAATGATTAGAGCTAACCTGAGAGTTCAGTTATGCAATGGCCCAAATTACATAAAAGCATACAACTAATAATAACAGAAAATCATATTTCGAGAAAATATCATTTAAAATAGGAGAAATACCTATAAAACTCAGAACCTCAACCAGAAGGTGGTGGGGTCTTTTATTTGCACCATCTCATTTAATTCCCACGCCAGTGGTCAGCAGGGACTGTTACTACCCTTCACACGTGGCCAGCAGGAGGCTCAGGGCTGGACGCCCAGGGCCAGCCACGGTGTTGTGTGGCAGAAACTGGGCAGTGGGTTCTTAATGACTGTTTAATTTCTCTCCTTCTCCTTCTTTCTTTCTCTTTCTTTCTAGCTTTCCTACAGGCCAGTCAAATAAATAAAAGGCAAGTGATAATTGGGAAGTCATTACTTCAATAGTTTGTCAAAAAAAGCTTTAGATCAGTAAAACATATATATATAACCACATTTTAGAGATTGCTTAACAAAAAGACATCACAAAAGGAAGCAGATAAAGAACCAGGCTGTTCACAGAAGAAATGCTATTGACAAAAATACGAAAGATTCTCCAACCACCCCATTGATAAGATAAATGCAAATTAAAAGATTTTTAAGATTGCATTTTTCTCTTATCAATTTGAGAAAAGATTAAAAAGATAACAACTCATTATCTACTGCATCCCTGCAATAGAATGTTAAGCAATCATTAAAAACTTCTTTTGGAAAATATTTTAAGGACATGGGAAAACCCAATATGAAATTAAGAAAAAATTAGAGAACGGGTTCATAAAAATGTAATTAAAATATATATGTGAGAGAGAAAGACTGGATGGAAGTTTACCAAACATTTTTATAGTAGCTATCTCTGTATACTAAAGTTATAGATCATGTTCATTTTCTTCTTTAAATTCCTTTATGTTGCAAATTTTCTACAATAAGCATGTACTACATTTAACACTGCAAAACAAGACTTCTTTTAAAATAATTTAAAAATTGACTTAAAAATTAACCCTGGTATAAACGCCTTTTGGCAACTGTAAGTAGTAATTAAATGAACCAAAATAAGTATTCTAAATTGGGGAGTATAGATGAATTGTAACTTCTAGTAATTTCTTAAATGGTCATTGTGTGCCCTATTGGAATTTAGCCTGAGGACAGGTCATGCATGTTTCCTGTTTCAAAAGACAATATTTGCTTTTTATGTGTCTTTGATTTCAAAAAAGCAAAGAAAAGGACTTTTATCAAAGTCAATCAAACAAATGTAATCCAATTATGAAGATAAATTTGCCCTCAACCTTACATGACTCAAAAAGAGGAATCTCCCCGTCTTTGTGAATTACACACAGCACGCCCCTGGGAGCTGCTCTAACTTGGCCTCCAACTGTCAGGTCAGCAACACCAGGATGAATGTTCTCCAGGGGCTGGGGCTTCAAAGGGAGCCCAAGGCCCTGGGGACCTCAGGCGGGGCGGCTCCCAGGGTGACATCAGGGCCTGCAGAAGGCTCCCACGACCTCAGAACCTCAGGTGGGGGAAACAACCCACAGTTACTGCCAGCCTCATGTCTCTCTGCTCTGCAATGAAAAGGTGATTACCGAGAATGTTATTTATGCAGGTACTCCTTTTGAAAAATTTGGGTGTTTTAAAATTTAAAGTGTTTATTGTGGATTGTCCCAAATTCATTGCTTGTCTTTCTTCTAATACATATTTTTAAGTAGGCTTTTTATGATACAAATAATACTTATTGAAAGAAAAGACTTCTAAAGTACACAAGAATATTAAAGTAAAAGGTAACAAACACAGCCATGCTAAGTTCCTACTGTATCCTTCCAGAAATTTCCATGCATACACAAGCCTATAATTAATAAGTTAAATATATGTATGAATATCTGTGTCCATATGTATATGTGTGTGTATATATTTTTTATATATACCTAGCTTATTTGGGGCTAGAATTGCACACAGTGCTTTCAACTTGGTTCTGTCACCTAAAAAATTGGATTTTAAAATGTCTATATAAAAGCGAAGAATCACGTCATTTATAGAAAACACATCTGTGGGCACCCATTCTCTGAAGTCCTAAGAAAAGGGAGGAAAGTTCCTGATAACAGAGGTTCATGAACACAGTTAATCCTCATTAACTATGAAAATGAAGGTTTTAATTACAACCCAACAATCAATCAGAAGACCATTCATTTGAAACAATGCCTTTCTACCTAAATTTTCATGATTGCAAAAAATCATCCCAAGTATATTTCCTCCAGACACAACTGTGGAATTGGATAGGAATGGAAGCCTGCACAATTCACTGCAGATAGGTGGAATTCGGGTGCCACTCCGTTCTCAGCACCACGCGCATCCTAACGTGTCATTTATGTGGGGGAGGGGGCATACGAATAAGCAGCCGTCACAGTGCAGACGGATAATGCGGATAATGCCTACTCAGAGCCGTCTCAGCGCTCTGCATTTCCTGACACACTCAGAAGGGGTCTGTGTCCCACCCTGTTGTCACAGACGGGAAACGGAAGCTCAGGGAGTTCAACGACTCGCCCAAGGCGACACAGCTATTTCTCGGGAAGCAAACCTCCAGGTTTGTGTCCGCAGTCATTATGTGGACGGCCTGGAGGAAGGGTGGGAGGCACGGTGCTCAATTCCATGTGGTCACAGGAGCATTATGTGGACCACATTTTTAAAAAGTGGTACCAGCAGTTTCATTACACACAATTAGTTCCTGAATTCTCAGCCTTGACTTTCCATGTTCCTAAAATGAAGCCACCCCCTGCCCCCCACTGTGAATCTGTATTAACGTGCTCCTGTGCTTACAAACACACGGGAACCTCGGCCACTGCAGCAGAGGCTGGCAGGGTCTGTCGCGCTGCCCCTCACGCTCACCTGCATTCGATGAACCAGCGCCGGATCTGGTCTTGAAGGTTCTCCTTGATGTCTGGACCTTCTATTAACTTCAGGTCACCCTTGATTGTCACCAAGGCTTCTCTGTAGTGCTCCTCATGCTTTAGCTGCATCTCATTCCGCAGGCAGGTCACTTTTGTAGCCTGGGTTATGGTAGCGCTGACTTCATTAAACATAGGAGGTGGGTTCTGAAAGTCAAAGCAAAAAAGGTGACTATTGTAAAGGTTACAGAGCTGCTGAAAAATATGAGCCACACATGAACTGTGTCAATATCTTCAGTGGTGTCTTCCCAAAGGTCCATAAGAACAGATAAAAAACACAAGAATATCAGATCTGGCAGGAAAATTTGAAACTGTGATTCACCAGCACGAGGAGGAAAGAGGCAACTCACTTTATACCATTTTCCAGAATCTGGAGGTGGGGTGGGGGGCGGGCAGGGGTGTGTGTGGGGGTGTAAGTTAGCTTGAAAAATGCATATTCAATAAACCTTTAAAAACAATCATTCAAACTACAGAAAGCAAACCTTTTCCAAACCTGAAACCATAAAAATGCTAGAAGAAAACACAGGGGAGAAGCTCCTTGACATTGGTCTTGGTAACAATTTTTTGGGTTGGACACGAAAAGCAACAAAGGCAACAGGAGTAAAAATAGACAAGTGGGATTAAGTCAAACTAAAAAACTTCTGCTCAGGGAAGGAAACGTTCAGTAGAGTGAAAGGAATAGGAAAAGCCTACAGAATAGGAGAGAATACAGCTCACTCTTGAACATGGAGTGCATGACTTCCTGAGGGCTGAGAGCTGAGCAGGGGAAGACAGCCAGTGGGCTTGCTGCTGGGATTATAGTCTTTCTCTTAATCCCGTCTTTCAGAGCAGTATCTCAACTGGCTCCTCACTGTGCAGGAAGAGCAAGATAAATGTGTGCGTCTACTCTGCCAGGTTCACCAAAACTCCCGAACACAACTATTAGGTTCCTTTGTTTTGAATTTTTCCGCATCAACATGTTTGAAGTTTCTCTCTTGCCAACAGCATATAACTGGATTTTTAAAAATGCAATCAGAATTATAGAAAAGAGGAATTTCATTTACTTATAGGGATAAAATACTTAGAGCTAATCTTGCCATCTGATATTTTCTAACACTTTCTTGTTTGTTCTTTCTTACCTTTCTTAGCTTTGTTCATTCTTGCCATGTAGTGGTTTAGAAATTATGCATCTTAGTTTTAATCTTTTACCAGTTATTCTCAAAATTTTAACATGTTAACACCTATTTTTTATCTATGTCTAGAACTGATCAGTATCTACAGTTTCTTTGAACAAGCCTAGGACCTCTGCACGCGTTCACTTTTCTCCTCCCAACCTCTCCTTCTATAATCATAGGTTGCGATGAATTTTTTAAATCAGCAACTATTTAAATTTAACCATAAGTTGTTCTGGTTTCTCTGTTTACTCTTCTTCTTTCTCGTATTCAGTTTTCATTTCACTGAAGCATATCCTTGAGTGTAACTTTCAGGTGGATATGGTCACCCACAAATATTGTAAGTACTTTCATTTCTAAAATGTTTTCATTTTAGAATGGCAGAGAGGTAGCTACCCTGGAGGACACTTCTTTCCACACTCAGAGTTGCCAGCAACTGGCTGGGAAATTTATTATTGTTCCTTTGTCGATAAGTTGTTCCACTCTTATGATGATTTACACTTGGAGTTTTGAAAGTTCATCAGAATGGATCTAGGTGTGGGCATTCTTCATTCATCATGTTCTCCATTGGATGGGTCCATTAAATATAAAAAATCATGTCTTCTCTGCAATTTTTCCTTCTATTATTTCTTTTTCACTTTTCTCTCTCTGCAACAAATATTAGATAAATGCCAGATCACCAGACTGATCCGAACTTTTCTCATATTTTCCATCTCCCTTTTACCTATTTGCAATATGTTATAGGAGGTTTCTTTAGCTTTATCTTCCAGAACTAATTTGGCTTTCAGTTATGTCCATTTATTATTTGAATTTATAATTTTAAGAAGGTTATTATTGTTTTGCCTTTTTGAGCATGCTTTTATTTTCCCAGATGTTTTTCTTATTTTATATTTGTTCCTTTCTTGTTTTTAGTAGTCACTTGGGGGATTTTTTTTTTTAGATGCAACGTCTCCTCAAACATACTATTGAGTTATTTTTTCCAAGTTCTCTTTTTTTCCTCAAAATTCTGAAGAGGTTTAACAAAATACAGATTTCCAGCTCCATCCTCCGAGTGAGGAAGAACTGAGAAACGAGTAGTTTTGGAAAGCCTTCAGATGATAATTATTCAAGTTTGAGGAAATTATCCAGGTTTGAGGAAATACTAATGGCTCTCGAAAAGAGTTTGGCAACCTACAGCCCATGGGTCAAAACTGTCCCATTGCATGTTTTTGTAAATAAAGTTTTATTGGAACACAGCCATGTCCATTCATTCACACACTGCCTATGGCTGCTTTAACACTACAATAACAACGTTAAATAGTTGTGACAGAGACTAGATGGCCTGCAAAGCCTCAACTAATGATGACGAAGAAGAAATACGGGAAAAAGCGGGGAAAGGGAAGGAGGCAAAGTAGGAGGAAGAGAAGTTGATTAAAAAAGGAATCAAAGAAGATGATGCAGGCACTTGTTCTGAGCTTCTACTGTGCATGCTCACCCTACAGAAATAACCTCTTAACCCTTAAAACAACCAGCCAGGCAGGTAGTATCATCATATAAGGAAATGGAACCAGAAAGGCTAAGGAACTTTCCCAAATTCGCGCAGCTGGCAAATGGCAGAGGCAGCCCATCTGATCCAAAGCCATGCTCCGGGATTTGGGGGCAGAACGCCAGGATTTCTGTCTTGGCTCAGCCACTTGCTGTCTCGGTGATTTCTTATAAGGCACTGACTCTCTTAGGCTCAGCTCCCTCCTCTACAGCACTAGGGAGCAGCAGTAGGCTGTGAAGATTGAATGGACATTGGCAAAACTATAAATTTCAATCAGTCACTCGGAAAAAAAGATAATCTGATTCAATTCATGTTACATACTAAAATAAATTCCACATGGACAAAATAGTTAAATGTAACAGTTATGTGTGCACATGCGCACACGCGTACACACACGCATGTACACACCCAATCTCCAAGAAATACCTATGAACCTCTGGGAGCGATGCCTCAACTTGAAACCACAATCCAGATGCTGTTAGAATACAGCATCCACTTCATGACATAAAGTCAAGTGAAAAATGATGAAAAGAAAATCACACACAGAATAGTTTATAAGAATATGCATCAGAAAGTTTAAGGAAATAAGCCCATTATCTAAGCTTAGTATAATGAGAGTCTACGACTTCTATGATGGGGAAAAAACCCTAAAACTACTTTAAAAGTGAATCTAGAATGAGAATTATAGAATCATTTTAAAGAATGTTAAAAACAAACGCTCTAAATGGCCTCAGTGTATATACAGGCGCTCAAAGGCATGACTTCATATTATGTATTTGGTGTAAAAATAAAGAGATAGGAATTTCCTTTATTTAATCATTTAGAGAAGCGTCCAACTCTTAAATCTTCCAGGTAATGCTTTTTCATTCCTTGTGTTTACATCTTAAATATACGAAATACACTTCATAATTCTTGTACAGATTTTTACCTAATCTCTGCAAGGATTATTTTAAAGTCATTGTTGTCATGAATGTGTTAAAATGGATCTCTGCTACAAAGGACCCAAATTTCTTCGTCTCTGAGGAGTGGGTAGAATTGTACTGAAGTCTTGCATTAATGTTATGACTCCCTACTCTGTCAGCGACTCGCATGATATTGCTTCTACCCCCAATTATGATGGAATTGATAATTTATAGCAAATTTGTTTCACATAATAGATGTATACATACACAAAGTATGATTTAGGTAGGCCTTTCTCCCTTGAAACGAAGCCATGAGTAGGTGGCCGTGATTTGTGTCTGGTCACTAACGCTATCTGAAGTGTTCAGCTGACTTCCTAACACCCCCACGATCTTTGAGTGAGCCAGAGAACCCTCCCGGCTCTCATTGGATTTTTATAGCCCCATTGGCACGGTGCCCATGTCTCTACTTACGTTCACATCCACCTGTGAGGCAGAAACGAGGACGTGACCTCCCACTGAACAGATGAGCGCACTGAGGTCCGTAACTACGTGACTGTCTCAAGTCATTCTGCGTGAATGAGAAAGCCAGAAATAAGGTCCCCGGTTCTTTCTGTTCTGTGCGCCTACCACACGATGCTGTGCTGTTAACACGTGTGTTCATGCGTGCTCCTTGATATACACTTTCTCTGACAAAAATACATTTGGGGTCATTCGTAGCTTCTTTGTCTCGTGGCTTCTGAATCGCAAGGTCAGCATATATTTAGGTCCCCTGTTAACGGGCAGCTTTTCCTTTGGGCTGAAACATCTTGTCCCCCTTAGCAACTCTGGCCACATGGAATTCAAATTTGTAAACTCGACTCATTCAGAAATAAATTACGAATATTAAAGGGAAATAGAGAACACGATAATATACGATATATTGAAAGACATCGGCTGTAGAATAATGCATCTTAATGAAGGCTTCCCATGTGAATAAACCATTATATTTACAAGCTTTCCACAGTTAATGACCTGGAACTGGATAACGAAACCTACGTTTATAGCAAGGTCCTCTGTCAGCAAAAATATACATATTAATAATTGATGTTGCTGTAAAAACAGGACATAAGATGCTGTTTCCTGGGTTTGCAGGGAAATAGGACTCCATGGTCCATTAACTTAACATGCTTATCTAATGTTTCATGGGCTTTGTCTTTAAAAATCTTTGTTCAAATTAGTAAGATAAAATGGACATTTGCCCAAATGAAAATCTGTGCAATGTATCAGTCACCAATACACTTGCAAGGAAGTGATTTAATGCGTGCAACTTTCTTATTGTCTTGGGGGGTTTCGGGCCTTCATGGTGCTTTGTTGTCCCCGAAGGCCAGACGAGCAGCGAGGGGAAGGCAGGCGTCTGTCGCAGCAAATGACCATCTTGCAGAATCTCCTGCCGTCCTCAGCGCGGAGATTAATTAGCCCGGCCGCCTCGGAGCCCAGCGTGGGCCCGCGCTCGTTAGGAAGCACTTAGCGGCCGTCTCCGTGGCTCCTCGGCCCGCGCCGCACGCTTCTCGCTCTAATTTTGCCCGTGGA